AAAAAAATAAAGCTAATCACGATGAACTTAAAAGACACTAAAGAAGAAAAGAAAATTTTTTTAGAAAAGAGTAGATATATAAAGAAAAGGAAACAAAATAACAAGATTTCTTAAAATTTGAAAAACAGCAAGATAAAAGAAAAGGCAGTTAAAGCCAAAGCAAAAGAAATTGTACGATTAACATCTAAAGGCCTTATTACTAGAAAGATGACAATCAGTCAAATGTTCTATATAAACAATATGTGTATAATTTCTAAATTATGCTACATGTTGCAGGTTACAAAGATGTTTAAAAAATAATTGATAATATACATATACTATTGCTACAAATAGCAAAAAACAAGATAGAGATTGCACGTATGACAAAAACAAGTATAATATATCATAGAAGCTTGGATAATTGCTTTTCTTTATGAAATCAGCTATTATTTATGCAAATCACAAGTTTACATAATTGTCTTAACTCGACTGGTTCAGAGCATATATTAACAAAATAAAAATTGAAGAAGGATTTCTTCTTGTTGGTGCTTCAAAAAATAACTGACATGAAGAGACCTTAGAAATATACTTGAAAATTTAGAGAAACAATTTAGCATGCTTAACAATGTTAAGAGCAAAGGAACTAAACCTTGCTTTTAACTTTAACAGTACCAACCTTCCAGAATTTAATCAGAATTGAAAACTTTGTACTATTTTATGGTCTCAGTAGCATATTGTTTTAAAAGTCTTAACTTGACACTTATCGACCAACTACTAGATCCAAGAAGAGAACAAATAATAACTTGACAACAACTCAAATTTCTTAGAAAGGGAACAAGCAGAGACAGAATAGCTAAATGGTTTAAGCAAATCGAAGAATTAATATTAAAAAACCCTCAAGATAGGCTGGTTAAATCATAATACAGAACAGAAAGCAACAACAGATAGTTCTTCCCTGTAAAAAAATTCAAGCTTTATTTTTCCATTATTTTTCTGTGTTTGAATTCCGTGTTTTTTCCATTTAAATTACGAAATGCCAAGTTCTGCATTTTTTCCATAAATGTTGCATATTTATGGAATACTTATGAAATTATATTGTTCAAATAATAGAAATTGTACGAAAATTTCACTGAAACTTATGTAATAATAAAAAATGTTTTTATTCAATTATGGAACTTGTACGGAGACTTTACTAAAATTGCACAGTAAAGTTTATTAAATTTATATGGATATAAGCTGAAATTTTTATTGAATTACTTTATGCATCAATACAATAATTATGCAGGTTTAAATCTATCACTATAATGAAATAACACTATAATCTTATAGAATTCTTGCGGAATATATATCTCTATTCCTTCACTTTTTATTAGTTTTTGTTCTCTTACTAATTCTTGCCTTCGTTTCTTTTGTCTTTTGCACCCCTTTCCTTTTTTTACCTATATAAATAAATGTATAAATAAATGTATAAATAAATTAGTAAGTAAAAAAATGCAACAAATACTAGTTTCGCTAGCAATTTTTACATGTATTATTCAAGGTACTAGAGTCTTGTGCATTGTTTTCGATAGTATCATCTTGCTTGGGAGTATTTTCAACACCATTATCTTTTCAGACAGAAGACCGAAGACTTTTTTTTAACAAAGGCATCACGGGGTTAAAGTGCCCTAACTAATGTTTTGTCTCCTAATAGAGCGAGAAGTCTGAACACTTTTTGATAACAATACATTAATCGTAGAAGCTGAAGTATTAGAATCTTGTGCATTATCATTATTATTATTTGTAATATCTTGCATAGGAGACTGAACACTTTTTCCTGCTATGATATAATAATTATTAAAATTGATGTTATCTTTACTGAATATACATCTTTGAACGGAAGAGTAAATACCTTTTTTTGATAGTGACGTATTAATCGCAGGTGTTAAAGTACCATGATCTTGAAAATTATCATTATCGTTATCTGTAGAAGACTGGACATTTTTTCTTGCTATATTAATTAGGCCATACAAACTTATATAATCGGTTCTTATATCACAGACTGACTTTCAGCGACACGGCAACCCGGATTTTAATTTTTTTCAAAAAAAATTTTTTTTATAAAAAAAAATTTTATTTGACTTTTAGCATTTCGTGACCCGAACACCTGGTAAAAATTTTTGTATGTTTGAAAAGTATTGCACACACATGATATATTTATCATTAGTTGAAGGCAAGCATCTGGCCAACAGTGCCAGATGTTAAACTTTATTAAATGATCATTTATTGAGGATTTATGTACAAACTG